CTCACTGTGGTACCCTACTGGAGCACACTGGAGGATGTAACAATTTCACGTGTCATTGCTGCAAGAAGAACTTTTGTTTTATATGCCTCTCAGTAGGAGACAATGGCAGATTTAATTGTGCTGGAAGGTGTCTCGTAGCAAGCAGACAAACATACATACCTAGAGCTACTAGGTGAAAATCCACAGAATACTGGTACTTGTACATGGATATGCAGGTACATTTGTTTGATAGTACATGTCATTAATATTTGTAAAATTTTTGCTCATTTTTCGCTTATTAAAAAACAATTACAATTCTACAGTATAGTGGAATGTTTTCGTGGCCCAAAAATTTTGCGGACCTGTTCAAAAATCAATTTCGCAGCTTTAATTTTCGTGGTTTTTAGTTTTCGGCCATCTTGAACTGTATTGAATCAATTTTTGCGGGTTTTATTTTCATGAATTTTGAAAAAAAGGCAAAATCTACAAAATTTTGGGTAACAAAAATTTTCCGCTTTATGGTATATACATGTACATTACCGGCTACTCCTTAAAAAATTTGCGGAAACTAGCTCATGCATATAAGTACATGTACAATATGTCACACTCAATTTGGTACATGACACATGCAGCCTAAATCTTAATTACGTAAAAAATTTTCTAAAGTATAAAATTTCTAAAACAAACTTTCAAATACACGGTAGCGACGGTACATATACATGTACCTCTAGGATTTCCATAATATAATTGACCTGCCAAATCAAATAAAAAAATCCTCATCAGATTATTGTTGGAGCTGTAATTAGTTTACAGCAAGTAATGTTCTACTTGACTCAATGTATTCAGTGTATTGTCAGATATGTGAAAGTCAAATCAACTTGGAGTAGCTAGATACATGTAAAACTCAAGCATATGTACATATTGTCCTATGGAATTTCATATAGAACAAGAGTATAGTCACAAGCGATACAGTGCATAATCGACTTTTGTAGTCAAAGCATCTCATTTAAGATGATGAACCACCACACTGGCTTGCAGCATGTCTCTAGATCGATGCAGCTATCAAATTCATACTTGATGAAATGACAAGTGATTATAAGTTTAAAGGTAGTACTTATAAAGTATGAAAAGGAAAAGCAAGAGATGTATTTTAACAAAAAAGGCATCAACTACAGAAATTCAATGATGAGGTAGCAGGAAAGGTAAAGACTATAATAAAGATTCTGACTGTGAATGGGACCATTTGTGAGCATGGACTAGAGAAGGTATGAGAAACCAAATCTTTCTTTAGTGAACAGTGAAGTACTTGAACAGTTTGTATATTTACATGCGCTTTTGTGAATGGAGTCAATTGGGCAAAGCATTCAGGAATCAGGTAAAACAATAAGTCAAACATTCAGGTGTCATAATAATTATTTTCACAGCTGAAGAAGAAAGCAAGAAAACTTTGTAATTCAAACATAATTTTTCCAAAGGTCCGATATTCCGCATTTTCCTTAGAAGCTAATACTAATGATACAAATATTCGAGGCTGGCAGTTAGTAAACTTCATTACACTTGGATATACATGTAGCTAGCATGGCATACACCGTATATACTAAAAAATGGAGTAATACACAAAGATTCTGGCTTTTCCACTGGCAAGAAGCAGGAGAGTGTCATGGTGGCTCTGAATGAATGGCCTAGCTGTTAGGCTGTCATACAAACGTATTGTACATGGCTGATGATTTTTATTATTTTTTCCAGTATACTGTTTCACAGAATTTTAATCCCAATGACCCACACATGAGAAACTGTTTAAGAGCAAGCAACAAGCATGAGGACAAGGTTATACAAATAAAGTGTATCCCATAGCAAAGTGCTATCAAGATATTTATGTAGTAATGAGTGGGCATATCAAAGGTGTGTGCCAATTCGAATTCTCAGTTGCACTACACCTCGTAGTAAAATGAAAGCAATGGAGCACAGGAGGTTCAGAAAAAGGTACTTCATTGACAAATTTAGGCTTTAGATTGACATATTTAACTATTTTAGGCTAAAATATCAGGAAGAGTATAAAATACGTCCAAAAAAGAGATTCAGCATCCAATGTGTCTTATCTTCTTATCTTACCTTCCCCTGCCATCTTGTTTAGCATTGAGGCTAGCCAACCATTGATTTGAACACGGAAGGAGAGCAGTGAAACTCTACCTGGACGGATTATTCGTCTGTGCATTAATCTAAAGTTGTCTGAACTCTGGAGACTCTCTATTTCCCCAAAATTGCACCTGTCCATTCCCACAGACTCCTAGGCATATGGCAAGATATCATTGACAGTTGCCTTTAGCTTATATACATGTAGCTGTCCAATATGTTACTTTGAATACTTTATCTAAAAACATGCACTTTTTACTGTCAAAGCCACAGGGATACAAATGAAACCACAGGGATACAACATATTTTTACATGTAGTACAGGCAGTCCCTGTGACACAACCATTCACTGTTATACAAGTATTATTTGTATTATTAAAAATGCCAATGAAGCTGGTCATATGTAAATTGAAGTTGCTCATATGTAAATTCAAGTTGCTTTAATTAATACATAATGTGTTTATGTTATTCAAGAGTAGAACAACTCTTATCATTAAAGTAAAACCATTATAATTAAGCCCAACATAATATGCATGTACTTTGGCAGTTTGTGGTCAAGCAACATAGGACAGAAAACAAATTTTGGCAAAAAGTTGCCTGACCACTGGCAATAACAAAGTTGAATGTCGGTAGCATTGTCAAAAGTACATGTCCTTGCAGTTACAAATGTAACTGCAGGCTAAAAAAAAGAAAAAATACTAATGCTAAATATACATGAACATGCACATGATCATGTAAATTAAGTTTAACAACACAATTTGCTTTCCAAAAAGGCACTGTCAAAATATTGCTTTGCAAGCTTGCATGCTTCCAAATAGAGATAAACAATAGTTGTACCGTATAGCCAGTTTCTTTTGAGTACAATAAATTTCACGAATGACCCATATCCGGAAATTCATGGAATTAATTTTCACGACTTTTCACTATTCTGCTATCTTGTACCGTATTAAATTGATTTTTAAGGAATTTAATTTTGCAAATCTTGAAAAATCTGTGAAATTTGTTATCCTGAAAAATAACCCACTATACGGTATAAATGTAATACCAACATGTATATGCACAAATTAGTTATTGCACCACTTCATTCCCTTTGTTAATGAATAAATTAGAAATCAATGTTTTTCATTTTATCTTTAAAAAGTACAATTAAGAAAAAGTTTTTAAAATGGTGACAGCTGATAGCCTGATTAGTGTTGCCATATTGCATAGATCTTTGAACTTTCGGTACTTCTTGTGAACTTTTAATTTTTTTAATCACAATTATAACTATAAACTCTAAATGAAAGAAACATAATTTTTTATAAACCAAGCACTATACAGCACCCACACACACAATCATTAATAATTACCACATAGAAGTTATAATTACATGTGTATTCCATTTGATATAAAATTCACGTTTTCATTAAATTCAAAAATTGAATTCTACAAAAAAGGTACGGCACACAAGGAAAAATGGCTGCAGAAGGTAAGATTCGAGAAAATTTATAACAACAAAATAATTGGCAAATCCAAACAAACTTGCAAACTTTTATAATAAATATAAGCATGTACATGTACTGTACATGTAGTATAGCAAGTGTCACATCATAGTCATCAGGCTCCAGGGCATATCAAATAATGTAGATGCACAGTGCACATGTATGCTCCAGGTTGAATAATGAAGGTTGAGTAAAAGGAAGTGCAAAAATGCTTGTCTTAAGCATATTCATGAACATATAGTAAAAAATTCCCTGGGAGTTGTAATTGTTAGCTTGTCATGTCTACAGTTATGATAAACAAAACCACATATAATAATTAGGATGAGAGCAGCAATTTCTAGGGGTAGCTCCAAGGGAATAACCCAGGGGATATAACATAAGATGACAATGCATCTTTGCAATGTTTGCATTCTGTATATAAGTAGCTCAGATCTATTCTCAGATTATCAGTGGTTTGGCTAAAGTTAAACTGAAGCAAGTCTAAAACAAGACATAAGACAGCAGCTAAGCAACACCAGTGGGCCAAAACAAATAAATAATTCAAGACTTCACCTACCATTGCTATAACAACTGTGCTCTTATTGACTGGAATACAGTACTCATTTGATATTCTGTAGAAAAATTGATCATTTTCAAACTTCAATAAATAGATAGTGGTAGCTAAAGATATGCCAATCAGAGTAAAGGATTTACAGGGAACTGAATACTCAATTCCTCTCTATGTTGGAGTAAGTACACCTAATGTAGAAAAATCTTTAATTTGGTATCTAATACATATAAAATCAAGAGCTGTGAAAACATGACTAATATCAATATATTGTAGGGAAACACTGTTCTTGAGCTCAAGAAGCAGCTTCAATCAAAATCAGGTATATCACAGCATAGACAGAGGCTGATATACAACAATGAGATACTGGAGAGCAATGGAACACTATTGTCACATTATGGGATCACTGATGGTGTGTGTCTTCAACTTGTGGTAATGGCAGGTTGGATTATAAGAATCAATAATTTACACAATCCTGGACAAACAATAGAAGTATTCTTGAAAGGACATGACTGTGAAGTAAGCAATATGCTTAACTTTGAATTACAAAAGGTCTTTTTCTCTCTGTAGAAAATGACAGTGATGGATTTAAAGAAGGAAATTGCTAAGATTCAAGGAGAAGCATTCATGAAATTAAATGAAATACGCCTGATGAAGAACAGCCAAGAACCGAGAGACATTACCACATTGAGAGATGCAAGAATTGTTGATAATGACACACTGTCTATCAAAAAGAAGTGCTTTCCACCAATGAATGTCCTTGTTGCAGGATACAATGCAAAAACTCATAATATAGTCATTACCCGTGACAATCCAGAGGTACTTTCAAACTGTCTTGTTTTGCTATTATACATGTACATGTATTCAATTTATAGGAGACCACAATTGCTGAATTAAAGAAGAAAGTTGAAGAGAAGACTGGAGTGAGGCCAGAGGAACAGAGGCTATGCTTTGGTTCAAAGCCCCTCCTAGATCACCATAAATTTGAAGACCTTGGAATTGGAAATGGGTCCACCATATTCCTTCTAGCACGTTTGAAGGGCGGAGCTGCTCAAGGAATGATAGCTCTACTCAGGGAGAGCCCTACAAATACCATCAACAATGTGCCACACTGTCCAATATACAGAGCATGCCCTCACTGTGGTACCCTACTGGAGCACACTGGAGGATGCAATAATTTCACATGTCATTGCTGCAAGAAGAACTTTTGTTTTATATGCCTCTCATTAGGAGACAATGGCAGATTAAGCTGTGCTGGAAGGTGCCTTGTGGCAAGTAGACAAACATACATCGTCACTAGGTGAAAATCCACAGAATACTTGAAAATCCACAGAATACTTGAACATCCACGTACATTTATTTGATCATACATATGTCATTGATATTTGTAAAATACTTTGCTTGTTTTCTGTTTATTAAAAACAATTTTAAAAAATTCTATATACATGTATGGCTGTTCATTAAAAAATTTGCAGAAACTAGCACATGTATGCATGTACGTGTACATGTAAGTACAATGTACATACACATAGGTACATGCCATATTCAATTTGGTACATGGCACATGGAGCCCAAATCTATATGTAAAAATTAAGTTATGCACAATTTTCTAAAGCATAAAATTTCTAAAACAAACTTCCAGATACATGGTACATGTACCTCTAGGATTTCCACATTATAATCGATCTGCCAATTCAAATAAAAATCATCATCAGATTACTGTTGGAACTGTCATTACATGTAGTTTACAGCAAGTAATCAGTGTATCATCAAATTTGTGAAAGGCAAATTAAATTAAGTTAATTAAGTTAATAAATTAAGTTACACTGTATACATTGTACATGTAGATAAAACTCAAGTAATAGGAATTTCCTATGGAAAAAGAGCCCAGTTCCAAGTGATACAGTGAATAATCAACTTTTGTAGTCAAAGCATCTCATTTAAGATGATGTATGGAGACAAACATGCCGGTTTGCAGGATATCTCTAGATCGATGCAGCTATCAAATTCATAGTTGATGAAATGACAAGTGATCTAAAAGTAGTGCTTCCAAAGGATGAAATGAAAAAAAGAGAGCTCTATGCAATATATTAACAAAAAAGGCATCAACTAAAGCATCAGAACTCAATGATGAGATAGCAGGAGAGACGAAGACTGTAGTAAAGATGCTGTCAGTGAACAAGACCACTTGTAAGCATGGACTAGAGAAGGTAAGAGAAATCAAGAAAGATTTCTTTCTTGAGTGAACAGTGAAGTACTTGAACAGTTTATATTTTACATGTGCTTTTGTGAGTGGAGTCAATAGGCAAAACATTCAGGAATCAGGTGATACAAAAAGTCTAACATTCAAGTGTCATAATAATAATTACTTTCACAGCCGAAGAAGAAAACTTAATACTTCATAAATAATTTTTCAAGAGTCACATTTTCTTCCTAATTAACTTAGAAGCTAATATTAATGGGTAAAAAATATTTATTGCTGGCAGTTAAAGCACATGTAAATAAAAACTCTTCAAGTACTTTACTATTCACTCAAGAAAGGTCTCTTTCTTGATTTCTCTTACCTTCTCTAGTCCATGCATACAAGTGGTCTTGTTCATAGTAAGCTTCATTACACTTGGATCTACATGTAGCACACATGCATATTAATTGCTGTGTAGCTTGCATGGCATACAAAATGTATATAGTGAAAAATGGAGTAATACACAGAGATTCTGGGTTCTCCACTGGCTAGAAGAAGGAGAACGCCATGGTGGCTCTCAATGAATGGCCTAGCTAATATCAGTTTCTCATGCATGGGTTGTCGGGATTAAAATCCCATGAATAGTATGCACTGGAAAAATAATAAAAATATCAACCCATACATACAATGTACATTTATATGACAGCCTGAGTGCAACAAGCATGAAGACAAGGTTATACAAATGCGATGTATCCCACTCCCACAGCAGAGATGCTTTCAAGATATTTATGTAGTAATGAGTGGGCATATTAAAGATGTGTGCCAATTCGCATGCTCAGTCAGTAGCATTACACCTTGTGATAAAACGAAAGATATGGAGGACAGGGGGCTCAGAAAAAGGTAATTGGTCAACAAATTTAGGCTTTAGATCGACATACACGTATCTTAACTATTTTCAGGCTATAATATCAGGAAGAGCATAAATTATGTGCACAAAAGAGATCCAGCATTTGCTAACAGCCCACTGTGTATCCATCTTACCTTCCCTAGCCATCTTGTTTAGTATTGAGGCTATTCAACCATTGATTTGCACATTAAATGAAATTCTATCTGCATGGATTATTGGTCTATGCATCAATCTTAAGTTGTCTGGATTCCTAATTTTCCAACTTTGTACCTGTCCATCCCCACAGATTACCAGGCATATGGCAAGACATCTTTGACAGTTGACTTTCGGCTTATGTACATGAAGCAGTCCAATATGCTGCTTCGAATACTTTATCTAAAACACTTTTTACTCTAAAGCCACAGGGACACATATACACATACATGTACATCACACTTTTAGCACAGGCCATCCCTGTGATACGCCCATTCACTATTATACAAGTACCGTACAGCAGGAAATATTTGTGGGGAATTAAATTTTGCGAGTTTGCGATTCCATTTAAAGCGCAAAATTTAAATCCGCAAAATAATGAAATTCATGCATGACCACAGTAGATAATGCTACAATAACTGTCAAAACCGCAAATATTTAATCCGCAAACCAGGTTATTTTTAACGATTCGCAAAATTTTTCTCCGCAAAATTAACCAGCTGTACGGTATTCTGTGTACTATTGAAAATGCCAATGAAGCTGTTCATGTGTAAATTGAAGTTACTTTAATGTATAATGTACATTGTAGTTTGTTATTCAAGAGTAGAACAACTCCATTATTGAAGTAAAATCAATATAATTAAGCCTAGCACAACATACTTTGGCAATTTGCAGTCAAGCAACATAGGATAACAAGTAGAGAGATTCAAATTTTGGCAAAAATTTGCCTGACCACTGGCAATAACAAAGTTGCATCTTGCTAGCATTGACACAAGTACATGTCCTTGCAGTTATGAGGTACAGGCTACATATGTACATTTCATGTACATCAAGTAAAAATGTATACAAGAACCTTTGCCGTGACACCATCATGATCTACATGTACGTACATGTATATGTAAAAAGTGCCTGTGAATCTTAAATTTCCATTTAAATAATTGAAAGTGAAATGTACATGGTGTTAATCAAATTTGAGGTACTTTTTAATACGGACTGAGGAAAAATGCCACAAACTTCCTGTTGTTCTAACATATCTATTTGTATGTCATGTATAAATGCATGTATGTACATCGTACATTATATCTTGTAAAATTATAATTTAGACACTTTCGCAACTACCCAACCCATATGCTTCATGTAAATTAGGTGTGCATAGTGAATAGAGGTTGCACACCAAAAATCTTGCAATCAAGTAAACCTTCTAATAAAAATATAGCTTTAATCTGAAAATAATCCAGGGCTATTCCTGAATTAAATAACCACAGCATACTTTATAAGCTGGTCATTTCTGATCCCTCAGTGTACATGTATCCGAATTTACAAAACAGGGACATGTACCCCCATCACTGTACCTTACTTAAAAAGTAAGATTAACCTTTCAGATTATGTATTCACTTAAACAAAATTGGCCCAATAAGCTAGTGTAAGGAAGTGAGGTTGACACAGGGCTGACAACAATTAATGTCACACATTTTATACTAATTTTACTGGTACCTTTTTCTTATGACTTCTTTTTCTTATCTTTCTTTCTTTTTCTTCTTCTTTTCCCGCCTTTTGTGGTGAACCACGTTCCCCCTGAGGTTCCTCCATTACTAGTTCTATTTGATGCCCAAGACTCAAGTAGTATTCTAATTGAAGAGCATCACCCTAACGTCACCACGTGTGAGCTCGCTTGTGAATACATGGACGGATCTTTATTTTGTTGTGACTCTTCTTTTTGTCCTCATTGCGGATCAATTTTACCTTTACCAAACAGTAAAAAGCCCATAGTCTGCCCACTTTGTTCTTTTAAACAAGATACCTCTGGTGAGCTTTGTCATGTATTATTTGTGACGGTATTGTGTTTTTTCAGCATATGAAAATAAAGTCGAGTACACTGTCAAGTATTTTTCTCTGGCCAAGAAAAGAGATAAAGGTGTGCAGGAAAGCTCTGGTGATGGACCTCTGGTAAGATATAAATAATAGTAGTAGGGTAGCGCAAGTCATTTATCGCCCACATTTTAACTTAGCGCCATATATCCATGTAAGTAGTCACAAATGTCTACAAATTCAGAAAGGAATAAATTATAATGTACAATTAGTTAAAATCTTTAAATAGTAATTTATTTCAGTTAAAGAAAAATGTGTAGTTATGAAGCAGCACACTTTTTAAAGGTTCAGCCGCATTGAATATTGACCACGGATATTTATTACCAGCTTCACTGGGCAAGGTCATTAGTAAATTATTGACCATGTAATCTGTTTTACTTTTTATCTTGACATTGGAGTATCTTGACAGTGAAGAAAACTAACTCCTTAAAGTACCTATGAGGCTTGTAATAGTATCACTATAAAAGTGCAGGGAAATGGTTGATTAATAATGAAATGACGAGAGTAAGTTCATGATTAATGAAATTCACAGTAAGGGCAAAGTTTCTTGCTGTATTTGTCAGTTCTTTAATCCAGTCTTTGTGAATCTTTGTCTTGCGAGAGCACTGAGTGGTCAGCACTCAGCACCCTCTCCTTCTTTAATATCATCGTCCATGCTTTGATCACACACACACACATCAAATATTAGAGCTCATTTCATTCATGCTGGTGTCATTAATAGCAGAAACGGACACTCTTCCTAAAGATCTTCCTTCAGAAGATCCTTCCTATCACCTGAAATACATGTACATGTACCACTGCTGCTCTGTTCAACGCTATTAAATCTCGTACACTTGCTCCCAGACATTGTGACCACTTGCCTTTCACTGTCCCTTTTTCTTTTCTTTTTTTCTTTTATTACTTTCTCCTCTTTCTTCCTAACAATCTCTTCTTCCTTTCTTTACTTAACTTCCTCCCTTTTTCTCTTTTCTTCTTCCTCTTTCTCTTGCTTCATTTCTTCAACTTTTTGTCTCCTCTTTTCTTCTCATTCTTTCTCACGCCTTTCCTTTTTCTCAAATTCAACTTTCTTTACATTTTTTTCTCCTGTATAATTTTCCAGCAATCATCACTGGTTAAGTACTCTAGCCCCTGTAATGGCTCAAATTTTTGGAGCTCTACATGTTGTGCCTTTTTTCCGCTTCTTGGAGTGGGGAGCTCTAAATATTTTTCTAAAGGAATTCTAGGAGCAGACATGATATGCTTGAAGAGGTAGCATTATTAAAAATGGGAGTTATTGTTTCAGTACTCAAAATAGGAGTGGTTAACATGGTACTAGAGGAAAGAGCTTTAAAAATGACAGCCATGATAAAACAGCATTAGAACCATAAGAGGATGTAACTAATGATCTGGAGAAAGTTTATGGACTAAGAAACTCAGAGATAGCGGTGGGAGAAATACATGTACAAGACAATACAAATAATGATCTGGAGAGAGTATTTGGACTAATACACATAGATTGAGAGATGGCAGTGGGAGACATGCATGTAGAGAAATAGGTACATGTAGTTCTTCTAGAGTTTGTGGTAGCTTTTGACAAGCATAAGATCAACAAAGATGTGCTATGTGGCAAATGTACTTCATGAAGCAGATATGTGGATAAGATGCTTTTAATCTACACAAACATTTAATCCAAACATGATATTTGTGGTGTCTGCAGCAAATCCACAAATATTGCTCATTGGAATATCATCAGCTTCAAACAGCTCTGCAATATGATTATAAAGTGACTCAGCAGTACTATCTGCAAGGGGTATCATATTATGAAAATAACTAGCAACTTCTTTCTTTGTTGTGTCATAGTAGTAACAATCTATTGCCAGTTCCTTCGGACAAAGTGTCATAGCAAT